TGGGGTCAGAGAGAGAGAGGGGGGGGTCTGTGGCTCCCAAGAGAGAGGAGAGAGAGAGAAGGCGTCTGGGGTCCGAGAGAGAGAGAGAAGAGATCTGGGGTCCCCCATCTCAGGGCCCCTACGCGTTCCACTTGGGTCAGGAGGGGCAGAGCCTGGATCCTGGAGAGAGAGAGGGGGGAGTCTGGGGTCCCCAAAAGAAGGGAGAAGGTCTGGGGCCCCCCCTCTCATGGCGCAACCACATTCCACCCTTGTGACCCCCAAAGAGAGAGAGACCAGCTGCTTTGCACATGGGGGAGGGGCCATCATTTTCTGCCTCATGCGGTGAGCACATCTGGTGGTCCAGGTTGCCTGGCGCAAGCTGCCCCCCCCCTCCGGTCGAGTTTGGGCTTGACACCGGCGGACGGTGAAGGCAGAAGGAGCAGAGAGCAGATGGGTGGGTGGGCGGCACACTGGGAGCCCCATCTTTATGCCGGGTTTCTACCCTAGGGCCCCCTCCTGACCGATGCCGCCCCCGGAGCCCCCCAGGAAAAGGACGAGACCAACGCGCGGGAGCTGCAGGAACTTCAGACGCAGTGAGTGTGGCGGGCAAGTGAAATGTGTGCGGGCTCCTGGGCCACCAGTTCCCCTTCACCCCAATTTTCCACTGACCTCGGGAGCCTCTCCTCCAGCTCCCCCCCCCCCCCAGGTGGGACCCCAACGGAGGTATCGGGTGCAAGGAAACGGGTCCGCTTACTAATAGCTGAACCAAGCAGTTTTATTGGCCTCGGCCTATCCAGGCAGTCCCTGACTTACAACAGTTCTTTTTAGCAACCGTTCGAAAGCGACCACGGCACTGGAAAAAGGGACTTATGGCCGTGTTACACACCACTCTAGTAGCATCCCGCAAGGGTCCCGCGATCAAAAGTCAGAGGTTTGGCAACTGGCTTGTATCTATGACGGTCGCAGCATCCCTGGGGTCACGCGATCGATCCCCTTTCATGACCTTCCGGCCAGCGAAGCCAACGAGGGAAGCCAGATCCAGCTGAACAACCCTGTGACTTAAGTTAACCCCTGTGGGATGACCCAGAGGGGTGTGAAAAAAAAATAACAAAGTCACAAAAGTAGAATAAATTCCCTTTAATGCCTCCAACTTGGCCCCCAATGTTCAGTTATCCTCGGCTGGATATCAAACTCTTCCAAAAACAGTCTATGAAGGGAAGAAATGCAGTCTGAACCCAAAGTAAAGATAATTAGAAATTAAAAAACCAACACAAACCACACTGAAGTAATTAACACAGCAGGCCAGGATGATAAATTGCAGACTTTCAAAGGATAACACAGCACCCACAGTTGGGAGGACGCCAAAACCCAGATAAGGCTCGACCAAGATAATGCACGCTTTGCTTCCAGCAAGGAGCCGTGTGCAAACACCCCACTTATATCCTGTTCTCCCAGCCAAAACTAATGAAAGGGATCAGGGCCCTTTTTTCTCCCGTAAGCCATGTTGCTCCCTCTCCGTTCCTCCCCGCATGCCCTAGGATGAAGAGGGGATGGCTCTGGGTCTTCCTCTGAGTGTCCAGCCGGACTGTGCCCTTCCCCCCATATCTTCCACAGCCACCGGAGCCACACTCCCACTCCCTGTCAGCTGCTCAATCTCCCCCTCTGAGTCAGACGGCAACAAGGGCATGACACCCTGAAGTGTGATTCACTTAATAAATGTGAAAAAGGTCGTAAGAATGGGGCAGAATTCATGCCCCACTTAGCCATAGAAAGGTTGCACTCAGTTGTGGTCCTAAGTCGGGGACTGCCTGCATTTACAAGAATCTCCCCGGATGTCTTGCCTTCCCCTGGGAACCAGCAAATAAGGCTCCATGGGCGATAGTTTGGGGGTGGCTTCAGACTTACTCCTCTCGCAGCTTGTCAGGGTTCCGGCGATTGCCCTGTTTAAATCATGAGCCTCGAGCCCAGCTTCAAAAAACCCTCAAAAGATTTATTAGGAGCAACATGCCGGCATTAACCAAAACGAATCCAACTCCGGGATATGTAATTCACAGTCGCCTGTGAGACCCTGTTTTCCCCCCTCCCCCCTGGGTGTGTCATAAATCAGATTCTCCAATGAAGCAGAGTTCACGGGCTGGGTGTCATCAATCACATTCTCCAACTGAGGATTTTCAAGGGCAAAAGATCCTCTTTTTAAGATCAGGGTGGTAGGTACTTGTTAGGGATATACACCCTAGCAGAACGTGCAACGGCAGTCTAGCAGGCAGGCAGATATGTGAGACAAAACGTTGTAGTAGCTTACACTCAGTAAGACAGGTACACTGTGCAAGTTAAATAGTTTTTATTCCAGCAAGAGTTATAGCATAGTCAAACGGTCCATATGTCATACACTAAGTTCAGTCAGTCCGGGGGTTAATCAGTTTGCAAAGTCCAGTGTCGAAAAAGAGTTCATTAAACTTACAATCAATCAGTCCAGTGATATATCTCTTTAGCAGTCAGAGAGATATGAAGAAAAATCAAACCCCTTTTCTTCTCTCAGCAAACACGCAGTTATCACCATCAATTCATCATTGTCAGCATTCCAGTAAAAGCCAGGCAAACAGTGAGCTCTCTTGCTCCCTCTTATGGTGATTTTACAACCGCACCCAAAAACTTGGTTTACAGTTTAAAGTGATACATACACTTAAACTCACTAACATAGTTTATATATTATTATTTTAACCAAACTAAGTTAGGTAACCAATGTTATCCCTAACAGTACTTCTGATTGTAAACTGCCGTACTGCTCCTCCGGATTCCCCCCCGCCCCCCCCTGTGTATGGCAACTCGAAAACAGGCCTAGGAATGCTTTACGAGTTGACCACAGCTATGCAAGGATCGAAGGCTACTTCCCTGCTTGACTCCTCCTTCCAGCCCGGCTGGTAGTTACCCAACCGGTGGATCTCTTCCCTCCTGCCTCTGATCCCCGAGCTGATCCCGGGGACGTCCAGGCCTGGCCTGCTTCCCTTTGAAGAGTCAGGGTCCATCCAGCCCCCCACCTGCACCCCCCCCCCCCATCTCCCTCACGGGGTCTCTCCTTCCATTTCCAGGCTGTCGGAGGCCAAGCAGCAGCAAAGCCTCGCCAGGCAGGGCCTGAGCCAGCTCCAGCAGCTGCTGCAGGAGGAGCGGGAGAGGCGGCTGGCGGCCGAGGAGGCTTCCTCTGCAGCCCAGGAGCAGATCCGCAGGTATTGTTGGAGGGGGGGGGACTCTCCCCCTCCCTCCTTCCCTCCGCTCCCTCCTGGCTGTTCCAGGGAACCCGCTCCTGAGGGACTCCGCTCCCTCTGCTCTGGGAACCCTCGGCCAAGCGGGCGGATCAATTCCGTTGACTCGATGGGTGGAGGGACCGATCTTGTTGCGACCCCTTTCCCAGCCCTGCAGACCCTTATCTGCTCCCTGGTGGTCTCGGCCCAAGGGAGGCGTTTCCGAGGCTGATTGGTGAGAGGGGGGAGGGGGTGCTTTGGGGTCTCTGGGGAGGGGTGTTCAGGCCTCTGGGGAGCAGCAGGTTGTGTGTGTGTGGGGGGGAGGCCAGGGCCCCACCGTTGGCCTCAGGGACAGGGCCCTGATACCTAGGCCTCTTTGCCCCCCCAGGTGGGAGTCGGAGGAGTATGCGCAGTCTCTGGAGACCAGCATTGCCATGCCGCCCAGCCATGAGCACGCCCGGCTGCTGGGGTCTGCCGAGAGCGCCTTCAGCAAGGTAAGGGGGCCACACAGACCCCCCCCCAGACACGGGTGAGGATCCCTGTGATGCCTATTGATACCTCTGTTTAGTCTGTCCTTTCCTCCCCTCCCCTCCTTCCTTCCTTCCCCCTCCCTCTCATTCCCATCTCCTTCCTACCTTTCTTTCTTCTTTCCTTTTCCTCCCACCCTCCCTTTCTTCCACTTTTCCCTTTCCTTTCCTCCCCTACATTCCTCCCCACTCCCTCCCTCCCTCCTCCCCTCCCTCTCATTCTCATCTCCTTCCCTTCCTTCCTCCCTCTCCCTTCCTCCCTTCCTTTTCCTTCCTTTTCCTTCCTTCCTCCCTCTCCCTCCCTCCCTTCCTTTTTCTTCCTCCCTCCCTCTGCCTCCCTCCCTTCCTTTTCCTTCCTTCCTTCCTTTTCCTTCCTTCCTTTTCTTTCTTTCCTTTTCCTTCCTTCCTCTCCCTCCCTCCCTTCCTTTTCCTTCCTTTTCCTTTCTTCCTTCCTTTTCCTTCCTTCCTCCCTCTCCCTCCCTCCCTTCCTTTTTCTTCCTCCCTCCCTCTCCCTCCCTTCCTTTTCCTTCCTTCCTTCCTTTTCCTTCCTTCCTTTTCTTTCTTTCCTTTTCCTTCCTTCCTCTCCCTCCCTCCCTTCCTTTTCCTTCCTTTTCCTTTCTTCCTTCCTTTTCCTTCCTTCCTCCCTCTCCCTCCCTCCCTTCCTTTTTCTTCCTCCCTCCCTCTCCCTCCCTTCCTTTTCCTTCCTTCCTTCCTTTTCCTTCCTTCCTTTTCTTTCTTTCCTTCCCTCCCTTCCTTTTCCTTCCTTCCTTCCTTCCTTCCTTCCTTCCTTCCTTCCTTCCTTCCTTCCTTCCTTCCTTTTCCTCCCTCCCTCCCTCCCTCCCTCAGCCTTACCATCTCCCTCTTCCTTTCACTCACGAACAGAGTGGAAAGTCCCCCTCCCGGCACGGACTGTCCCTCCCATCAGACAGCATCCATCACCATTCCTTTCCCGCCTCCCTTGGCGGCAGCTGGGCTGGGGCTCTGGGGTCGAGGCGCCCTCCTTCTCTAACTCCTCCTCCCCTTCATGGCTCTCCCCCCCCTCCCCCCCCCCACAGGCTCGAGGGCCCCGGGGGCTGCCGCGTGTCCTGCGCTCTCTCTTCTGCCCCCGGAGGCTGTTCTCCCTGCTGGCCACCCTCTACCTCCTCGGGATCCACCTGCTGATATTCCTGCACGCCGTGGGACGCCTGTGAGAAGACCGAGGCACCGGAACTTGGCTGGACCGCGGACCCCGATGCCTGGCGGCAGGGGTGGAGGGTTGACCCTGCTGGTCTGGACACCAGGGTGGGGGGGGCTTCCCGCGGCCTGGTTGAGGCCGCCAGAGGTCAAGCCCAATCCTGGTTAGTTAAAGCAGGCGACGGACTTCCTCAGCCCTTGGCGATGCAGGGTTTGTGCCGCTCCTTCAAGGGAAGCGCCAGGGTTTCGCCGGCCAACTTGGGGTTTCACATCATCAGTCCACCGTTGATTTTGGGGGGTGGGTGGGCAGGAAAGGGCGGAGAGACGACGATGCCCGCCTCCCTTTGGGTGGCATTAATCATCATTAGCGAAGGTGGGGGGCTCCTGCAGGAGAAGGCCAGGATCCTGGTCTTTTGAGACGGGGGGGGGGCCGAGGGAAGACTCACACCTAACTCACGTTAAACATCCGTTCTCTCTCTTTCTGCACATTTGGGGGGGGGGTGATGGACACGTTTTAGCCCCCCCCCCCCCGGGCTGGAAATACTGCCCCTTAAGGCAGGCTTCCCCAACCTTGGATCTGGATTCGGGGACCGGCCTGGGGGGAGAGAGGGGGGAGGGGAGAGGTCCCTGCAAGCGGCACCCGTGTGCTCGCACCTCCCATTTGTGCAAGTGGCGGGCAGGCATGCGCACTGTCTTGCTGGCTTCTGACACAAGTGGGGGGGCCTGCATGCCCGCCACTTCTGCTGCCCGGTTCCGAAGGGGTCAAGGCATGGTAGTGGGCTGCAGCCCCGGGGGGGGCGGGGAGAAGATGTTGGGGACCCTTGCCCTAAAGGGAGGAGGTGGGGGTAACCCTGTTCTGTCCTGTTCTGGAGAGTCAAGAAAGGAGGATCTGTCTGAAGTCCCCGGACACCCCCTGACCGTCCAATCTCCGCACCTCCCGGTGCTCAGTTAATGGAAGGTTAATGGGAGCCACATCCTTGGCTTGAAGGGGAAAGGGGTCAGGATTATGGGCCAGGGGGTTCCCTTTCTGGCCACTTTGAGAAGAAGAAAGACAGGCCTCTCTTGGTCTGGCCTAGGATCTGCCTCTTGGACCCCGTTGGACACTTAATGGGGGTCCCCACCCCATGGCCTGGGGGGGTGCCCTTTATCCCCTCCGCCTGGCCTTCTGGGTCTCTGCCACCCCTTTGTTGTGCAATAAAGATGTTTATTTTTTCTGAGCGTCTTGCGTATGAGTGGCTTCTTGTCCAAAGGTCATTGGGAAGGCGTTTCCCTCAACTCCCAGGTGGTCATAAATTGGTCGTGACTTGCTTAGCCACTTCCACATGTCGAGGACTACGACTGTTAAATCATTTTCTTTTAACAACCCTATCATCCCCTGCGGGGTGGAGTCTAGGCAATTTAACGGAGCTGAGTATTTACTGGCCGGATGCCCTTCCCTGTCACCAGTGCGGAGTTGTATTCAGCAGATAAATTCTCATCTCATATCTGCCTCTCCCTAGGATCGAACTCACAGCCTCCTGATTGTGCGGCGAGAGCTCCACTTCCAAGCCACCGCACCACTCAAGGGCTATGACTAGTAAATCATCTCCTTTGAATGACCCCATAATCCCTTGCGGGTGGAGACTGGGCAGTTGAATGGAGTTAGCAGAGTGTTTTAATGGCCAGATGCCTTTCCCGTCGCCAGCGTGGAGTTTTGTTCAGTAGATATATTCTCATTGTGCCCAGAGAAAGAAATATCTGCGTCTACCTAGAATCGAACCCACAGCCTCCTGACAGTGAGGCGGAGAGCTCTACCTCTAGGCCACCGCACCACTTGAGGACTACAACTCATAAATGCCGGCTGGGAATTGTGGGAGTTGAAGTCCACAGGCCTTCAAGTTGCTGGGTTTGAGAAACGCTGCCAGTGCAAATCCCCGGATCTCTAGACGCCGCAGCTTAGCCCCTTGGGCCTCAGAGCGTCCCCACCTCCATCGGGACATTTCTAAATGGAGCAGAATTAATTAATGAGGTTGCTTTGAAGTCCTGCCCTACACAATTACAGGGACCTTAATGAGGTCCCTCTTGAATCCCGGCAAAAACCCAACGTGGGATTGTTAATTAATTGGGAAGGCGTCGGCACCGCGCTTCATCTAACTTTGATTCCCTGGGCAAAAGTATTGGAAAAAAAAACACACCATCTGACAAATATCTAAAGCAGGGATGTTCACGCTTGGCCGCTTTAAGGCCTGCGGACTCCAACTCCCACAATTCCCAGCCAGCATTTATTAGTTGTAGTCCTCGAGTGGTGCGATGGCCTAGAGCAGGGGTCCCCAACCACCGGTCCACGGACCGGTACCGGTCCGTGGAACAAGTCCTACCGGGCCGCTGGTTTGCTGGGCGCTGCCATCTTGTTTTGATGAAAAAGTGCTTCCGGTGAGCTTTTCCGGGTAGAAAGCTCACCGGAAGCACTTTTTCATCAAAACAAGATGGCGGCGTCCAGCTGATGCCGGTACCGGGCCGCGCCATAAAAAAGGTTGGGGATCACTGGCCTAGAGGAAGAGCTCTCGCCTCACAATCAGGAGGCCGTGGGTTCTATTCTAGGTAGAGGCGGACATTTCTCTGGGTATGCTGAGAATATATCTGCTGAACAAAACTCCTCATCGTTGACAGGAAAGGCATCTGGCCAAGAAACACTCCGTTCCATTCAGTTGCCCTGAAGGTCCACAGGTCTTAAAGCGGCCAAACATGGACACCTCTGATATAAAGGTAAGTCTTTTTTTAAGAAGGATTTGGGGTGGCTTGAAGCAATGTTGGGAACGAGCTGGCTTTGCTTGGGGGGGGGCAACTTTCTCACCTGCGGAACAGGTAGCACCTGCAGGCAAGCCCTACACAGGTAAGCGCTTTGGCTGCGAAGAAGTGCATCGAAAGCCGAAGATGCTTTGGCCTTCCTTGACGTGCGTCCTAATTTTTCCCTCTCCATCGTGCCTCGTTGAACCATTGCCTCTCTGGTTTGCTTCTGAACATGCGCAGAGTGCACTTCTTAGTTATTCCTATTTATTTATTTTAGAACAGAGGTCTCCCAAACTTGGCAACTTTAAGACTTTGTGGACTTCCAACTCCCAGAATTCCTCCTCCTCCAGTCATGGTAGCTCGGGAATTCTGGGAGTTGGAAGTCCACAAAGTCTTAAACTTGGCCAAGTTTGAAGACCCCCTGTTTTTTAGGAGGTTGATATCATGCCACCTCTTTGGGAATTTCCACCGCTCCCCACATCTCGAGTGGGGTCAGATGTAGACCCAGGTTGGGTAGAGGAGAGCTGACTTTCCCTCCCTCCCCTCCCCCCCCCCCCCCCCCCCCCCACAGGCCCTCGGTCGTCTTCTGGGGCCCAAGAAGAAGCAAAAAAAACCTCTTCCTGATTTGGCGAACTTCAAACAGGAACTTGGGTTTGCAAGTGAAACCAGGGTGGGAGGAGAGGAAGCCGAGCCGAGGCGCTGCCAGAAGCGGAACCGAGGCTCCGGGCAAGGTATGGAGGCTTGAAGGCGCGGCGCACGGGTGCTGCTGGGGGCTCGTGGCTGAGCTATGGGGGGGGGGTGACACCAAGTCAACCTTGCTTGCTCCAAGATGCCCCATGGTCTTGTCCCATCGCTGGAGCGGCTGGGATACGGGCAAGGTTGCTTCGACCCAGCAAGAGGAGGCAGCAATTTGAGCCCTCTTGGGCGGTTGGGAAGAGGCAGCCACGGGGAGCAGATTAACAAAGAGTTGGAAGGGACCTTGTAGGTCATCTAGACCAACCCCCTCCCTCCACCACCCAAGCAGGAGATCGTACCCCATTTCTGACAAGAGGGCAGTCCAGGCTTTCCTTGGGAGCTTCCAGCAATGAACTTCTGAGGGCCACTTCTGCTCCGTGGGGGGATTGAGCGCTGGGGGGCCAAAGGGATTGAAAAGCCCCCCCTCCCTCCCTTGGCTCTTGGGCTTCTCTTCTGCAGAGCTTCTGATCTCCAGCGGCTGCCTAGCTGCCCCCTTGTACCCATCGAGGCTTCCACAGGGCAGCATCTGGAGCAAACTGGAGGGGGGGGGGGAGAAAGGGACCTGTTTGAGATGGGGGGGAAGGGGAGAGGTCCAGCTGGGCTAAAAGGGACTCCTGCAAGGGGTGAGGGAGGGCAGGGAGGGACGTCTGGCGGAAGTTTGGGCCTCTGAATTCTGCACCAGCATTCTCTGACTGGCACTTTTTGTAAATGCTTTCCGTGAAGATTTTAAAAGCTGCAGCAGATCCTGGCAGATCTTTGAGGCAGATCCTGGTGCTTTGGAGAATAGCTTGACCCCCCTCTTCTTTGGGGCAGCCTTCTGGAGGCCAGCCATTCCACTCATGAACTGTTCCCACTGCCAAGAAATTGGATCTCTCCTTGCTTTGGGGCAAGTCAACCTACCATTACTGGCCGCCTTTTATTCAAAGCCAGCGTTCTTCATTGTTCTTGAGAAAACTGGAGGGTGGAACGTGGACAGGGTCAAGCTGGTCCCTTTTAGATCAACAGAGTTGGAAGGGACCTTGTAGGTCATCTGGTCCAACCCCCTCCTGCCCAAGCAGGAGACCCTACCACCTTCATGTGCAAAGCAACTGCTATAAAATTTGAGTAGTTGTGTAAACTATGTTTGTGCTTAGAAAGTTTCACCTTAGTTCTAGGTCTCATTCCGGGGTTTATGCCCCCAGTTGGTTTTCTTTTGGGGCTGGAAAGCACCCTCTCCCCACTCACTAACCTCTCCTTGGAGAGGAGGGGCTTTGGAGACTGGCTTCCACTGCTTGTACTGTTGTGACCACAGAAGAAAAAAAAAAAGCTGAATTGGTGCATGAACCCACAAGAGATCTCAGCCAAAGACCGGTATATGCCTCATTTGCTGCACAATGCTTGCAACGGAACGATCGTTTCCTTTCGACTTACATCCGGCTGACTGTAGGATGGTTAGCTGAGTTTCCATCTCTTGCCTGCACCACAGTCCAGAGCGAACAGCCATTTAAGGAAGCGGTTCAAGCGATTTCATTGTAAATATGACACCAATAATGATAACAAATAAGGAACCACAAACTGTCGATAATGGAATTGCCCTTGATTCAGGTGTTTTTTTTCTATGTTGTGTACATGTTTGTTCATTTATTTTAATCGTATATGCAATAAAGTTTGCTTTTAAATTTATTTTTTAAAAAAGGAAGCGGTTCAAGACCAAAAAAAAAAAAAAGAGTCCCACATTGGTGCAGCCCATAAAATTTCATTTTATTATTCATTGCGCAGTCAGCCAGATGTTCAGGCTGGGTTTGGCATTTTTGTGTACCTATTGAGTCCCTACCAAGGACCAAATCTGGACATTTGATAGTGTTACGGATATTGTCGCAGGATGGAAGCTGTTCCAAGTAAAGCTGCCTTCTGCAATTGACCGATGACAAATTTGTCCATGCCACTGATGGTGTTCAAGTGGTGCTCCGGTTGTTTTGGGACTGTACCCAAGGCACCCATTACTATTGGTACTACCCTTGCTTGCCTTTGCCATAGTCGTTCTACTTTTATTTGTAGGTCTCTGTATTTTGTTATCTTCTCCAGTTCTTTCTCTTCTCTTCTGCTCTCTCCAGCCACTGTCACATCCACTATTCTGACTTTTTTGCCTTTGTTGTCGACAACTGTTATGTCCAGTGTGTTATGTGGCAGGTGCCACTCTGTCTGGATTCTGAAGTCCCAGAGCACTTCAGCACTTTTTTTATTTTCTATGACTTTTTTCTATTTTATGGTCCCACCAGTTCTTGCAAATAATACTTCTTGCAGATCTTCAGGTTCAACATGTTTCTGTCTGAGTTTGCTCCATGTTGGAGCAATCTACAACTGGTATTGTAAAATTGACTTCATGTGTTTAAAAAGAAGTTAAATGAAGTCTCAGCCATCTGTGTTTCCTTTTCTGGCACTGAATTTACGCTATGATACTCTGAACAATGATTTCTTCCAACAACCAGTTCACCAAACCACTGAGAAAGTTAACAACCAGTTCTCCCGAAGTGGTGCGAACTGGCTGAATCCCACCATTGGGTATGGGGTCTCCTGCTTGAGCGGGAAGCTGGACTAGAGGACCTCCA